ACCCCTCTCCCTCGCTGCTGTTTCAGATGTGGGGACCATCCCTGAAGATGGAAGCCACAATCCCTGAGTCGGAAGGAGCTTCCTTGGGGCAAGGGCAGGAGGCACTGGCCATGGAGCATGCCCAAGATCCCGTCTCCTTTGGTAGGAGCACAGAGGCTTCTGGCCTGACCCAGTGCTGCGTCAGAGGATGTGGGCCGGAGACCAGTTCCCAGGTGGTGGCCCCGGCCGAAGGTTTCCTCCTGAGCCAGGCAGAGGACGAGAGGCAGACAGAGCAGGTGAGTGGGTTTCCTCCAGGTGTGTCCAATTCAAGCAACGACATCGGGCCTTCTCCTAAAGTTTCCCTGCCAGATAATTGCCCAAGTTTTAATAATCCAAGTGGGAGATTTCATGACCTCCTTCAGCAGCCTCTTCTACGAGAGAATTTCTGATCCATCCAGGTAACTCACCAGGTCTGCTGATGGAAGGGCGCAGACTGTGGGAGTGGGGCACGATCCATTCCTTGGTCTCTTTTCCATTCCATCTCTCACCCCTCTCCCTCGCTGCTGTTTCAGATGTGGGGACCATCCCTGAAGATGGAAGATGCAATCCCTGAAGTGGAAGGAGCTTCCTTGGGGCAAGGGCAGGAGGCACTGGCCATGGAGCATGCCCAAGATCCCGTCTCCTTTGGTAGGAGCACAGAGGCTTCTGGCCTGACCCAGTGCTGCGTCAGAGGATGTGGGCCGGAGACCAGTTCCCAGGTGGTGGCCCCGGCCGAAGGTTTCCTCCTGAGCCAGGCAGAGGACGAGAGGCAGACAGAGCAGGTGAGTGGGTTTCCTCCAGGTGTGTCCAATTCAAGCAACGACATCGGGCCTTCTCCTAAAATTTCCCTGCCAGATAATTGACCGAGTTTTAGTCATCCAAGTGGGAGATTTCATGGCCTCCTTCAGCAGTCTCTTCTGTGAGAGAATTTCTGATCCATCCAGGCAACTCACCAGGTCTGCTGATGGAAGGGTGCAGAGTGTGGGAGTGGGGCAGGATCCATTCCTTGGTCTCTTTTCCATTCCATCTCTCACCCCTCTCCCTCACTGCTGTTTCAGATGTGGGGACCATCCCTGAAGATGGAAGCCACAATCCCTGAGGCGGAAGGAGCTTCCTTGGAACAAGGGCAGAGGGCGCAGGCCGTGGAGTGTGCCCAGGATCCCCTCTTCTTTGGTAAGGACCCAGCATTCTTGGATGCAATTGGAGCACCCCGTGAATGTGACGGGTAGAGAGTTCAGGTCAAGATAAAAATAAATAGTTCTACACACAACAGAGAGTTAATTTGCGGCACTAAATGGCCACTCACTCTGATGCCTCCAAAAGGAGATCAGACACATTTCTGGAGGGCAATTTCTCCCGTTAATTAAAAAGTTCATATCCCACCTTCCTTCCTGTCATGATCTGGGCTGTGCCAGTAAAGGATTGGTAGGCCCAGGGAGCCTAAGTAGCAGTCGGAGGAAGCCAGGCCTACAGCTCCTAGAAGCCCGTGGGAAATTTTGGCGCCACTTTTAGCCAATCACAGGTAAAGGGGACTTATAACAAAAGAGCTGGTCCAGAAAAAGAGCTGTTCTTTCTTCCAAGGGAGCAGGGCCAGAGGGAAGGCTGCTGCTGGGAGAGACCCTCACACTGAGAGGGAGGCTGAGCGGACTCAGGCCCAAATGTGAGAGTGGACTAGGGACTATGAGTCTAGTCGCGGTAAGGCATTTGGTTTCTTTTCCCTTCACCCACCTTGTTTGTTTCCCACATTGGGCTGACCTCCTGTAAAAATCACCTTTCCTTTGCTGTTTACTCTGCCTGGTCCTTCTGCCTGTTATTTGGCCAAATAAAGGAGGTCTGAAGGTCTTGGGAGGGTGCTCTGGGCCTTCTCAAGGGATCCTAAATCCAGAGTGGTGGCAGCGTCAGTTGACACCTCACCAGACCCGGGACACTCCCATAAAAAGAAATCAAGTTGCTGCTGGTGGTGGGGAAGTAGACAGACCTCGGCAGAACACTTCAGACTGGTGGATAAAATGAGCCTCCACCTTCTGGGGCAGTAGAGCTCTGGAAACCAGTTCCCCTGGGCCAATCATATTGGGGAAATGTGGCTTCTGTGCCTGTGCTTCAAGGGGCCCGTGGCAGGCTGCTGTGGGAAACAGTGTGCTGGGGTACAGATGGCAGGCTGTGGCCTGGCACCCCCAGGAGCTTTGGGAAGGGGGCTTGGGACAGATGTCATGTTGATGTTGATGTTGCATCTGGCTAAAAACCTGGTTGGGAAGTGAGCCTGCCAAGAGACACTCTGAAAACGCACTCACATTACCCTTAAGTCTCCAGATGCACTCAAGTCCCGTCTGGTTCTGAATGTGATGGTGAGGTATCATGCAACATCTTTCCCTCCCCGCAGAGTAAACACAGGTCCCACAGAAGTCTGAAATATGTTGGTCACATTTATAATCCCTGAGGCTCATGGGTACCATATGCTTCTCTTCCGCCTCTCCCAGAATTTAGTAAAAAGTGTTTAAAAATGTGTTCAGTGTACAGAGGGCGAGGTTTCACAACCCTGGGAAGGAGGTGCATGCAGCAGTGAACAAGCAAGCAAACGCCCTTCCTTCCTCCTTTGTCTCAGGAACAGGCAGTGAAGAGATGCTGTTGAGCCGACATCTTTTCAGAGGTGCGGAAGCGGCTGCTGTACCTCCAGTCCAGGTAGGAGAGATTAGTGTTGCGGGATTCTGGGACCCCCGGATTGTTTCCCTAGGACCCTCCCATTCCCCTTTAGTTCTTTTATTGCTTGAGTGGAGACTGGCAAGGGACTGAATCAATACAGAGAGACCATAGTTCTCAAACAAAAGCAATTTATCTTCCCATATATAATTGTCCAATGTATTGGCCATTTCCAGCTTTCCCGTTGGCTGTGCTGTTCGCTCCATCAGCCTTTGGCCAGCCAATTGCCACTCGAGTACTTGTGTGCCATTGGCTGGGTGCTGGGTCCGCTCCTCTTCCCCTCCAACTGCCGCCTCTGCCACTGTTCCCTGTCAGAATAAACTGCCAAAACGGCTGTCTCTCCTGGCAAAGACACTTCATCGTCTCACTGGCTACAGAAACGACTGTTCCCTGTTCAGGAAGAGTCTTCTACTGCTGCTGCTACTCCTGCTTGGCTCCTCCAAGGCAGGCTGGCTACTGAGGTGAGCCAGTGGCCATCCAATCATTCCCTTCTCCTGCTTGTGGCCCAATTTCCCCCTCAGTGGCTGTTGCTAGGCAAACAAGCTTGGTTCGGTCAGTAAAAAGGCATGGAAATGGGAGGCCCTTTCCAGGCCTACTTTGGCCTTTGTGGGGAACTCATTGGGGCCAGTCCTGACTAGGGTTACCAGCTCCAGTTTGGGAAATTCCTGGAGATTTTGTGGTGGAGTCAACGGAAGCCAGTGTTTAGGGAGGGGAGAGGCCTTGGGTGAATAGAATACCATAGAGTTCACTCTCCAAAGCAGTTATTTTCTCCAGGGGGAGAGAGAGAGAACTGTCGTCTGGAGTTCAGTTGTGATACCAGATAATCTTCAGGCTCTGCCTGGAGGTTGGCTGTTCTAGGCCTGACAGCACCCTCTGGGTGACTTAACACCTGACTGGCATGACTTTATGATACCTGGCTGCTTGCTCCTGTTCACCAGCAGCAGCCCCCCTAAGACATTTAGTGTGATGTAGCAGTTGGTGCTTCAGAGCAGGGTCCACTGAGGAACCTTTCTTCACTGTCGGGAAGGTCTCCCTAATGTTAAGCTGAAAACTCTTCTGATTTAATTTCAACCCATTCCTCTGAATGCCGTTCCCTTTACCCAAGTTCAAAGTTGGAATCAGCTGCCTAGGGAGGTGGTAAGCTCCCCTTCACTGGCAGCTCTCAAAAAGAAGCTAGATGGATATTTATCAGAGATGCTTTAGTCTGGTCCTGCATTGGGCAGGGGGTTGGACTAGATGGTCTTTATGGCCCCTTCCAACTCTATGATTCTATCCCAAGCCTTACATCCTGTACCCTCCCAGACTACTCCCTTCCGGTGTACAATCTCTGCCTGGTGTTATCTCTGAGAAGGGAATCTGCTTTTTCTTTTAGGGTCCCTTTTCCTTTGAGGAGGTGTCCATCGATTTCACCGAGGCAGAATGGGCCCTCCTGGATCCGGGACAAAGAGCTCTGTACAGGGAAGTCATGCTGGAGAACTATGAGAATTTGGCCTTTCTGGGTAAGAATCTTTTCTTGGTGGCAAAGGTGCAAATTTCCGCCATGGTGAGGGGGCATGAATCAAAATATTGAGTAGCTATTCATGATTTTTAGGCCTCCAGCTTCCGGGGGGGGGGAGGCTGTGGCTCCCTGGCAGAGCATCTGCTGGGCATGTAGAAGGTCCCAGGTTCAATCCCCAGCATTTCCAGTAAAAAGGATCAGGTAGGCAGTGATGCCTGAGACTCCGGGGAGCCCCTGCCGGACTGAGTAAACAACACTGACTTCAAATGGACCAAGGGTCTGATTGAGTATGAGGCAGGTTCATGTATTCATGTGTGTGTACTTGCCCAGGGGCAACAGGGGCCAGTGTTGTGGCCATCACCCAAGCCAGAGAAGGTGTTCTGGCCTGAGGCAAAGGTAGGGATGAGAGGCCCTCAGAAAGACGCCAGAAGGGGCCAGATCCTCATTTCACTGTTGCCAGCCTTTACAACACATCCTTCCCCCTGAATGGGATCCAAGACATCCACTCTGCCTGTGATCTTGAAATGATTCTGTCAAGAAGCGAAGACTGGGTCCCCCTGGGTCAATAAAAGCATAAGAGGAGCCAATGTTGGATCAGGCCAATGGCCCATCTAGTCCAACAGTCTGGTTAAGTGCACAGACTCTAATCTGGGGGAACTGGGTTTGATTCCCCACTCCTTCTCTCACAGTTGTCGGATGACCTTGGGCAAGCCATAGTTCTGTCAGAGTTCTTGAAAAAGAGCAGTTTCTGTCAGAGCTCTCTCA